TGTTTTTAGCATGTTGAATGTATTTTACCACTGCTTCTGTCGTGTTTGTCATTGATGAGAAATTATCTGCTTAACTGTTAATCTCTTGAAAGTAATTTTTCTTTTCTCTGTGTTGCTTTTAAGACACTCATTGTCTTTGCTGCTCTGCAGATCTCACTGAGATGTGTCTGTGTATGCATTTCTTTCTATTTATTCTTCTTGGGATTCTTGAACATGTGTCTTGGCATCTTTCATCACTTTAGAAAATTCTTAGTCACTATCCGCTTAAATATTCTCTTCCTTCTCCTTCTGAAACTCCAAACAGATGTATGTTAGACTTGATTTTTCATGTCTTTTAAGTTCTCTTTCATATTTTCAGTGTCTTTTCTTTTTGTGCTGCATTTTGGTTAATTTATTATTGACCCAGCTTCCAGTTTACTGTTTCTTTCTCCAACTGTATCTAATTTGCTCTTATGTTTACCCACAGTTTGTAATTTCAATTATTTATTTTTTTATTTCTAAACATTCTCTTTGGTTCATTCTTCAAGACTTTGTGGTTATTCCTCATGGCTCTTTGTCTTCTGCTCACATCTTCAAGCTTGTCTTTAGTTTCTCTGAGTACATTACAATCATTTTTATAGTCAGCATCAGGATATTTATTATCTAAAGAAGCCCCTGACCAGTGAATTCCTTCCTTTCTTATCAGTTCATCAATGCTTTTGGAAATTAAAAACAAAATTATATAAGACTTTTTAGTAGTTTCTAATGGCAAGGTTTATCTAGGTACTTAGCCTGCTATAATGATGAAAATAGAAATCTAGCATGCTGTTGTGAAATTGACAAAATTAGGAAAAGGTAAGCTGATCAGATGGAGATTGGCATTAGGAGCCTAGCATGTCCCACACGTACCGAATGCACTTTATGAATGCCCTGAAGAGTGAGTGCGTAGGGTGTTGTGATGAGATGCCACTCACCATGGGACTTGCCCAGCCTGGCATCCTACCCCACAGGACATGACACCAGAAGGACTGTCACCAAACAAGATGAGATTTTCAGGAGGCCTATTTAGAAGAAGTGATTTAATCTGTAAAAGATTAGAGGCTCCTTTAGGAAAGGAAGGCTTGGGAGGACTTGTCCTCTAGTTCTGACCTGAGCCCTACCAAAGCCAGTCGGACTTGTTGCCTTGGAATTCAGGGGCTCTGTGCTCTTCCATCCCAATGGCCCTGTGGGAGTATCTAAGAACAGATGTAGATGTAGGGACCACAGAGTCCATGGGGGCCTCAACTGCTCCTTCCCCCCACTTACCACATCCCATTGGCCACCCAGACCTCTTGACTCCACCTCTAAATAGTTCTAGAATCTCTTCACCTGTGCCCACTTCTTCTGCCATCGCCCTGGTCCAAGATGCTGCCATTCCTTGCCTGGGCTGTAATGACTCTCCCAATCAGCCTTCACGTATCCACTCCACATCCCTCCTCTTCCAATTTCATTCCCCACAAGCAGCTAAAGTCATCTTTTTAAAAATGCAAATCAGATCACGTCTCTCTCAACCTTCTAGATTTTAACTTTCATGATTTCCTATGGCTTGTTGGGATGAAGTCCCAAATCTCTAACCTGGCCCATCAAGTCCTATTCTTCAACCTCAACTCCAGATTGTTCTAGCCACCCTGCTTTCCTTCCATTTCTTGAACACACAAAGAAGCTTTTCCTAGCTGAGGGTATTTATGCCTGCTGTCCCTTAACATACTTCCCACCCACCTTTCTGCTAGGTCTGTCCCACAGACCCTGGCCAACGGATGAAAGGAGTGCTCAGACACAGGTATGTGGTTTAGGAGCAGCTAGGTCACTGCCCGGCTCTAGTGGCCAGAGAGCAACCCCGAGAAGCTGGAGCTGCTTGCTTTAATTCAGTGCAGGCACAATGCCAAAAACCTGGAGCAAACACAACCTGTAAGCAATTAACGCTTACTATTCCCCTTTCAGGGAACTTCACAGGCACAGATGATCAAAGGTCAGTTCCTGGTCAATATAAGTAAACAAGCCAGTTTAAGATAAATTCCCCTACACTCCTTTGTACCTACTCCTTGTCCCTCTGCCTCAGGGTTATAGAAGAGCTGCCTTCAGCTATTCTTCCCTGGGGCTCTGCAGAAACTTCCAACTTTTCAGAAGGTGTACATCTTTTCCCTATAGTTTTTTCCCACCACTCTGACCAATCCTCCATGCCTTTCCTTGGGTTGCTCCTATTCACCCTGTGGACCCAACATAAATGTAATTTCCTTTCTCTCATCTTCTGTGCTGGTCTTGTTGCTCTAGGCTCCCTATAGCAAGCCTTTTGTATGTCTTCATGTCTTCACCAGAGCACTTACCCCACTTGTGATCCCATAATTATTGTTGTAATTTCTGTCCACTTTCTCTCCTCTCCACTACCTAGTAAGGGCTGAGTTCATCACCCTATCCCAGCACAAAGCACAAAGCTTGGCACATGGTAGCTGTTGCTTATTGGACAATGCATCTATGAATGAATCTGGCTTCTGCTTCCATCCCTCCACTGGGACTGCTATGACTGAGTTCACCTGTGACCTTCTCATTGATAAGTCCAGGGTTTCTTCTCTGGAATGTCTGACACGTGTACAACATTTGAATGTGCTGTCAACCTCTAGTTCTTTAAACGTTCTCCATCTTTTCTCATCCTTTGGTTTGAGACAACATCATTTCCTTTGTGTTCTCTCTAAGCACTGCTTCTGAGCCTCCTTTGCTGACTTGCTCTGAGTGTCCATTAAATGTCAGTGTCCTGCATTATTCCAGCCCTGTTTTCCCTGCTCCCTCTGCACAGTCTGTGAGCAGTCTTAATTATGTCTGTGACTTCAACTCTCATATATTTACACTGGTGAATCCCACGCCTATATGTCCAGCCCCGTATCCACTCCTGAGCACCAGATATTTCTCCCACTGCATCCTAAATGCCTCCACCCTGATGTCCCAGGGAAGCCTCAAACTTAACATTTCCAAGTGGAACTAATTCTCTTCCTTGCCAAACCTGTTCTGCCTCTAGCATTTACGGTCTGGCTAAATAATGTCACCATCTACCTAACCTCTGAAGCCAGATGTCATGGAGTCATCCTAGACACCCCTGCCAGCTCAGTACCCATGTTCAACTGTCATCACACTCTGTCTCTTGGATCTGTCCCTATCCCTCCTCTCTCTGCACTGCCACTGCCTTAATACAGCCCCTGCTGTACTTGTTGGGGTCATGGAATCAGCCTCTTCCCTGGGCTTCCTTCTTCCATCTTCTTCTCCATCTAGTCTATTACTAGCACTCATGCCAGAGTTCTTGTTACAGAGAACAAAGCCCAATCAAGCCACCTCCCTGCCTCACCCCACACCTTTCTCCCTCATGCCCATACAGTAAAGCCCATCCTCCTGAAGATGACATGCAAGCTTCTTCACAGCTTACTGGTCTTTCCTTCCGGCTTTTGCTTCTCTTTGCAGCATTCATGGTCCTCCGGGCATGCCATTCCTTCTCAGTACAGGCTTATGGGTCAAGCAGGGTTCTCAAACATCAGAGTCACAAGGAAGGCCTGCTGCAAAAATGTGGCATGCTGGGCCTCACCCGCAGAGGTTCTAACTGTGGGTCTGAGATGAGGCCCAAGATTTGAATTGATAACAAGTTACCAGGGGCTGCAGGGGCTTCTCTTCTGGTGACCACTGTGAGAATTACCAGTGTAACCTATAAAGCATGTGAGCCTGGGAGCTCCACTACCTGGGTCCAAATCCTGCCTCTGCTATGCACTTCCGGTATCACTTAACCTCTCCATACCTCAGTTTACTTACCCATAAAAGGGGGCTAATCCTGTAATCCTTATAGGCTTTGGAGGAGGATTAAATGGGTAGTACCCAGAAATCTTTCAAACACCGCCTGGTCCATTGTATCAGGGACTGTCCGTTGCCACCTCTGTTGATTGTTATTTGTATTATTATTTACATATTCGGTTGTGAATGTCTGCCTCCTTCTCTTTATTGTTTGCAGTTTCCTCATCTCCCTTCAAGAATTTATTTCTTTTCTGAGGAGTGTGTTGCGAACACTGTCCCGGCCCCCGGTCTCCCTGCACCTTTCTTTGTGCCCACGCAAGCCTGCGTGCATCCTGTCCTAGCATTTGCCACCCTGCACTCACCTCTTTTCCAAGAGTGGGGCTCATTTGCTGTACCTACGCAAGGTTTCATTTTCTTCCAGCTTTATTGAGGTGTAACTGAAAGATAAAATTCTGTAAATTTAAGGTGTACAACATGATGGTTTGATATATGTGTGTATTATTAAATGATACCCCAATCAAGTTGGTTAACATGGAATTCAAAAAGAAAATTTTTTTTTATAAAGTTAGTTAACACTTTCATCACCCCACCTGGTTACCATTTTTTATGTGTGTGATAGGAGCATTTAAAATCTACCTTCTCAGCAAATTTCAAGTATACAATACAGTATTAACTTAAGTCATCATGCTGTACATTAGATCTCTAGAACTTACCAACTTATCTACGTTGTAACTGCAATGTTGTACCCTTGGACCAATATTTCTCCATTCCCCCACCTACAGCCCCTTGAAACCACCATTCTTCTGTTTCTCTGAATTCAATTGTTTAGATTCCACATATATGATCATAAATTTGCCTTTCTCTGTTGGCTTACCTCACTTAGCATAAGACCCTCAAGGTTTGAGGTTGACCCATGTTGTCACAAATATTAGATTTCCTTCTTTTTATGGATAAATTATATTCTATTATGTACATGCACACACACACACACACACACACACGCACCACAGTTTCCTTGTCCATTCCTATGCTGATGGACACTTAGGTTGTTTCCATGTCTTGGTAATTGTAAATACTGCTGCTGTGAGCATGGGTGTGTGAGATCTCTTTGAGCTACTGATCGTGTTTCCTTCAGACATATACCTAGAAGTGGGATTGCTGGATCCTGTGGTAGTTCTGTTTTTAGTTTTTTGAGGGACTTCCATACCCTTTTCAGTTTTTAGTCCTTGACTTCCATCTTGAGTCCCAGCAGCCCAGCAAAGTGTCTAGTACATCGGTGGGGGTAAAAAATGCTTCTTAATTAAATGATGGAATTGCCGTATGTAACGGAATTTATTGAAAATATGGCGAAATGTGTCCAGTCTGGGAAAAGGACTGAATACCAAGAAAAGGTGGAGAGAAAAGTGTGTGTGTGTGTGTGTGTGTGTGTGTGTATGTGTGTCCTGAAAGTTTGGGAATGTTGTAGTAAGGACAGTGGGACTGGATTCAGGAATGTGGTCTTGTGGTCTCAGGAACATCTCAGTGCACCTCACTTAGGATAATCTTAGCTGCAAGTAGCAAAAACCCACAACTCAATGGATTGAAAGAAGGATATTTATTACATGTGTAATAAGAAGTCTGGAGGAAGGATGACGTTGGTGTTGTCTGATCCAGTGGTCAACCATGTCATCAAGGGCCTGGGTGCATTCTTTCTGTTCCGTCTCAGGCTTCCCTCTCATGGTTATAAAGTGGCTGCAGAAGTTCTAATCAACACATTAGATGGCACAACACCCAGTAGAAGGAAAGAGCCAGGAAAACACTTCCCTGAGCACCCCTGGCAGGGCTCCTTTCACGTCTTAACAACCAGAGGCGGGGTAGAGGCCACCCCAACCTATCCACTGGCAAGAAGCCTGCACTGTTTTGGCTGGGTAAGGCCTCTGAGCTGGTGCTCTTGGACTCTCAGACCACCTGGATCTCATGTGTTTTGCCTGTCAGATTCATTGAGAGCTGCAGAATAGGCTCAACATCCCACAGGGTCTGCTGCTCCGACTGGGACAAAAGAGTTGATAAGAAACTAATGGGCCGGGCACAGTGGCTCACACCTATAATCCTAGCACTTTGAGAGGCCCAGGTGGGTGGATCACGAGGTCAGGAGATCGAGACCATCCTGGCCAACGTGGTGAAATCCCATCTCTACTAAAACACAAAAAATTAGCAGGGTGTGGTGATGCGCGCCTGTAGTCCCAGCACGCAGGAGGCTGAGGCAGAGGAATCTTTGAACTTAGGAGGTAGAGGTTGCAGTGAGCCAAGATTGTGCCACTGTAGTCTAGCCTGGGGACAGAGCAAGACTCTGTCTTAAAAAAAGAAACTGATGGGAGTGACTTCACTGGTGGTGGCAGGTCACTGTCCCAAGTGAACAGAGCTGGAACTCTGCTAGAAAGGAGGAAAGAATAAATGGATGCTGCTTGTCAGCAACAGTGTCTGCCTCAAAGCCCAACCCAGATAATCTCAAATGAATTGCTTGAAGTCAAAGTGAGGAATCTTTTCCTCTCTGTTCTAACAGCAGGTCATGCCCTAACCACAGTTGCCCTTCAGGATCCTGGCACAGAGCCACCCCGGTCATCGGGCTGTTTGTCAAGGGTAGGGCAGCAGCAACTTGCCTTCCTCCATGAGCCCAGACAAAGCCTCCACTGGGCGCTCAGCAGAAGAGAAACCCTGCGGGAGCCAGAGTCCAGCGTGCTGGGATCCAGCAGGACTGCTGGCATAATTCAGCCAAGGTGTGCTGCCTCCTCTCCTGCTAGGCGTGTGGCTGGACACGAGTCTTGCTGATGGTAAGAACCAGAGTTCCTGGATGTAGGGGTACTGGGAGCAGCCACTTGCAAGAAGGCTGGGCCAAACAAACACATGTTCTGAATGAGGGTAACGAAAGCGGCATTTCTGCCGAGGATCTCTGATTTTCTGTAGCCTGCCCCTGGCTAGAAAACTGTCAGTTCAACAAAGTAGACTTTCAGACCACCTGGATCTCATGTGTTTGGCTTGTCAGATTCATCGAGAGCTGCAGAATAGGCTCAACACCCCACAGGATCTCCTTCTCTGACTGGGAAAAAACAGCTGATGAGAAACTGATGGGAGCAACTTCACCAGGGGTGGCAGACAATTCTGGCCAGGAGTGGGTGTCCACAATGGGCAAGAAGTGTGGGCTCCATGCCAGGAGCAGTGGCGAATAGGCTGACATCCTAAATAATGTCCTGAAGAGCTCGAAAAGCAGTTCTTCCAGACACACGCAGGGAGCAGCAAGATGAGATGCAGTAAAAAGTTGAATCCAGCCGGGAGCACAGTGCAACTTAGTTAAGAGTTACCTCTATGACATCTGCTGGTCATGGTGAGGGTTGGGGGAAGATAATGTTGAGGGCTGGCCATTATTACATGTGTCTTTCTTGAATCTTCTATCAGATTGTCAACTCCTTGAGGGCAGTAATGGAATGTTTTATTTCTCTTGCATTCTTCACAAGGTCAAGTACTGTTGATTGGTTGAGTAGTTGATGTGTTCTGACACAATAAACCTGACGAGGTCAGGTCCTAGAATCTTCATTCCTGGGAGCAGAGTTGTCACCAGTATCTGTTAGGCACCTGCTGAGGAGGAGCAGTGGCAGGTACTTTTGCCACCTGAGTTGGCCTGAGGTTGCTGGGTTTATGAATTTCTTAGGACTGCCATAACAAAGTGCCACCAACTGGGTGCTTCACAGAAATGTCAGGTCTCCCAGTTCTAGAGGCCAGAGGTCTGCAGCCAAGGTGTCAGCAGGGCCACGATCTCTCTGTGGTATACAGGGGGCCCCTCCTTGCCTCGCCCTGGCTCTGATGGTTTGCCAGCTGACGTTGGTCTTCCTTGGCTTGCAGTGGCGTCACTCCGGTCTCTGCCTTCGTCATCACATGGCATTCTCCCTGTGTGTGTGTGTCTTCACATTTTCCCATTTTTATGAGGACACTGGCCATCTTGGACTAGGAACCGCCCTACTCCCGTATGACCTCATCTTAACTCATTACATCCTCAGCAACCCTGTTTCCAAAAAGGTTACATTCTGAGGTGCTGGGGCTTAGGGCTTCAATGTGCCTTGTTTTGGAGATCACAGTTCAAGCCATGACACTAAGTGAGTTCCTTCACAGTGACAGGACCAGAGACATACAAAGGGCCAGGGTGAATATGAATGGCATTCTGTGGTGCTGCCCGAAAGTGACTGGCAGCAGTGTCAGCAGGGGAGCGTGTCCTCTGTTCTCAGCATTCTCTAGGGAAGTGGGCTGAGCTGGGGCCCATTTGGACACGCTGGATGTTGTGTTCCAGAGGAGGAACTGTATCCACCTGTCACTCTCTTTTGTATGGGACAAGTGGGGCAGAGCCGTGACAGAGGGGAACAGACTACTAGGGTTCCAGGCAACCTTAATGGTTGAGGAATGCCAGGAAATTCCATCTGCCCAGCAGCACCTGGTGACCCTGGGCAGTTGAGTTTTGGAGCAGCCTCTCCCATAGAAGCTGGAGGGCATCACTTTCCCCCTAGAGGTGGTGGGGGCTGCTGGGCCCAACTGGCTCATTGCTAGGCAATCCAGAGAGAATTCCCGACACCAGATACTGAACAACTTACTTGTCTTCAAACCTAAAGCTTGGACCCAATGCTGCCAACTTTTCTGCTTCTCCAGTTCTGGAGCCCTTAGTGCAAAGGTTGCAGCCCAGAAGCCTGCAGACTGTTTGTAGCCTGGAGATGTTTTCTTCCCAGTAGCTGGTGTACACAGTGCTTTTGTACTATTTTTCAAATAAGCAATACATTCGTGTGGTTCTAAAATTAGAGCGCTACAGAAAGGTGTCCAGTGAAATCCTATCCCTGCCTCCATTGGCCAGTCCTGCCCTGCCCTCCCCTGTAATCACTTGTATTAATTTCCTACACAACCTTACAGGATTTCTTTTTGCAGATAAAAGTCAGTACAAATATATATCTGCCTCCCTCCCTCTATTTCTTCCATAATTACAGCAGACTATACACAGTATTTTTAACCTTGCTTTTTTCACTTAATTTTTCTTGGCGATCTTTCCTCGTCCTCATTCTTTTTTTCAGGGGTGTAGTATCCCATTGTATGGATTTACCATAGTTTAACAATCCCCTACTGATGGACACAGGCTGTTTTTAGTCATTTGCTATTAATATTATGAGAAACACTGTACAAAATACACCTGCCATTTTATGTTGACCCTGAACATGTGTAACATTGAACGATTCTGAAGAATCTTTGGATTATCAAAAGAACTGGAAATACCTGGTTGGGTTGGGTAGCAGCTGTCCTTTTTTTTTTTTTTTTTTTTGAGATGGAGTTTCGCTCTTGTTACTCAGGCTGGAGCACAGTGGCGCAGTCTTGGCTCACTGCAACCTCCGCCTCCTGGGTTCAAGTGATTCTTCTGCCTCAGCCTCCCGAGAAGCTGGAACTACAGGGGCGTGCCAATCGCCCAGCTAATTTTTGTATTTTTAGTAGAGATGGGGTTTCACCATGTTGGCCAGGATGGTCTCGACCTCTTGACCTTGCGATCCTCCCTCCTCGGCCTCCCAAAGTGTTGGGATTACAGGCGTGAGCCACCGCGCCCAAGCTCGCCCTTTTAAAGAGACCTCCCTGCCCCGCCCCTGGTATCTTCCCCACCACCTCTCGCTGACCCTTTTGTGTTCAGCCTGAGTGTTGACTGCCATCTAGAAACACTGTGCTCTTTCTCTCATAGGAGGTGAAGGAGGAAGGCAAACCACTCACATACTCCTGTCTCTTCAAGGGGGAAACCGAAAGCCAGGGAGGCCATCTTTTTCCAGCAGAGGGAAGAGGTCAGACGATGTGAAAGCGATTCTGCTTCATCGGCCCCTGACCACTCGGCCCATTTCTGTTACTCTTCTGCATGCTTGAGTTTGCAGCTCCTGCCTTGCTATGTCCAGGCCTTCGTCTCAGGAGCTGAAAAGTGGAAGGGAAAGAACTCTGCTCTCTTCTTGCTTTAGCGCACTGTCTGAGTAGCTATATGGAGATCAGCAGTAAAAATAAAATACAAGACAATCAGAAGTATTGTTCTATTGCATGGATTGTTTCAGCAGACCACCACCGCCAACCCTGAGACAGCGGTAGCACTATCTCCCTTTTCTAGACAAGGGAACAGTAGCAGAGTGAAGTGGCTTCACCAGGACTCATGACTCGTACACAGAACTAGGATCCGAACCCAGGTTTTTCTCTCTATGACCTGATGTTTTAGCCAATCTATCATGCTGCTTCCAAAGTCTTTTTTAAAAAGGTGTGGTTTACAATTATGCCTCTCACCTTTTAAGTTTGTCATCACCGATGCCACGGAGATGATGGTCATGACAAAGATAAGAGCAGCTCTGAAAATGGCTGAGATGGCGACACACTGCAAAGAAAGTGGGTGACAATACGTATGTGGTCTCCTAACTGACGTGACGGCTGTTCCTTGATGGCTTTTCCCATTTGATAGAGTGGAATTGGCTCCCCGACCTTTTTGCTCTTTTAGTCCAAAGACATGTATTGAGCAACTTCTGAATGGCAGGCAGCGTGCTCAGTGTGAGTGAGAACCCTGGTGCCTGAAGGCTGGTTCACACAGGTCAACAGAAAGCCGCAATGCCACCAGGTATATGTGGTATTGGTGATGTGGATGTGTCGGGTTGTGTCCAGAATGTGATTATGCACCATGGAGCAACCATGGACAACAAGGTGGGTGGCTTCCAGCTGTCTTGGGTCCTCATGATTTTACACTACTTGATGAAGGAAGGAAGTGGAGCCCGGAAGTGGTGGCCATGAGCTGAGGTATTGAGCCATCCTTCTGCCCGCACCCCAGGATGACCGTGACCACAGCTGGCAGCTCTCTGGAGCCCACTTGGGGTTGAAAAATGGGCCAAAGGAAACCCCCCTCCCTTTGCCACCACACTTCAGCTTTTCTCATTCCTGACCATTTGTTCATCCCGTAAGCTGGGGCTGGGGGTCTCCCAAAGAGACACTCACCCTGGAAATTAGCATTCTTCCAGGGGGGCAAAATCTTCTTCCCTGCTGAAGAAATTCTAAACCCAGCCAGCCGGAAGAGGAAGAGTTCAGGGGTGAGGGGAGGGTGGGACCAAGAGGGCATGTTCCATCTGATCTCTGACATCACACGTCAGCAAGAGGACTTGCCCACCCAGGCTTCTTGTCACCATGCTTTGTTGGATTCGTATTGTTGCTGTCTATCTCTCTTCTCCCCCCAGTTTGCATGCAACCGCATCTGTCATTTCTGTGGTTATCTTAGAACAACGGGGGCTTTTGCTTTTTATTTACTCTGTCTCTGAGCGCAGTGCTAACCACAGCAGCCTATGGGCAGAGCGGGTGGGGAGGAGCCAGTCGCTCTTCATTGAAATGCTGTGGTCTTCAGCTGCAGCCGGTGTGAGTGCTGAAATTGTGCAAAACAAAAGTGTTGAAACTCAGTCCCGAGTGACTTCTGGGGATCTGTTGCTTGTGCTTCCTATGGAAGAGTAATTAGACACGAGTTGTTTTCAGGTTGAAAAGGAGAATCCAGAGTCCTGGTGGAATGCAGACAGCAGGCACATCCAGGGCCGCAGATAGATATGTGTGCTCCTCTGTGCTGGCAGCTGTGTGCAGGCACAAGAGCAGCATTCCATACCCTCCTTGTCCTCAAGGAACTTAGTGACAGGAAGTGGAGCAAAATTTACAGTTGACCTGCCCTCTTGGGCTTGTTTCCTCATGACAGGAATGAATGAGGTTAGGCTTGATCAGTATTCCTTATTTTTTTATTTTTAGATTTAGAAGGCACATG